GTAAAGGGGTATACATGCTTGTTGAACTTTACCAAGTGCTGACAATCTACCCTGGCGGGTTGGGGTGGGGTGGGGTGGGGGGTGAGGCTATAATGGTTTACATTCCATCAATGGTATACTACTTTTTTTTATCTTTTTTTTTTTTAAAGAATCTTGCTGCATTCCAGGCTCACCTTGAACTCCTTGTTCAGGCAAGCCTCAAACTCATGATTCTCCTTCCTCAGCCTCCCAGAGTGCTGGTATTACTGGTGGGCACCGCCCACCACATCTATATTCATCAACTTTCTATATCATCAACTTTAATATCCCCAAATATCTTCATTTTTATTAAAATGGGGAAAAAGTATAGTATCTTTTCTAGTAAACCTTTCTGTTGGAGTATAAACATGAGTACAGGACAATATACAAATCAAATTTATATTTAGGTTGGGCATACCTGTTATCCCAGCACTCTAGGAGGCTGAGGCAGAAGGACTGCAAGTTTGATCCTAGACTGGGTAACTTAGTGGCTGGGGAAAGCTTGCCTTTAAAAAAAATAGAAAGGGCTGGGATGTAGATCAGAAAAAAAAAAAAAAAAGCCCTGAGTTCAATCCCAAGTACCACCCAGATAGAAAGAAAGAAAGAAAGAAAGAGAGAGAGAGAGAGAGAGAGAGAGGGAGAGAGGGAGGGAGGGAGGGAGGGTATTTAGGTGGCTCTTTAAAACAATTCCAACCATCTGAAGACATGATATATTACTACCAATTCAGAAACCTTCATTGCTCTCCTTCCCAGTCACTACTACCCTCAAATATAATGACTTTCCTAACTTCTAATAGAGTAGTTTTGTCTAGTTTTGAACTTTATTAAGTAGTACAAAACTACACTGACACCATCGTACCCCAGAAAGAATGGCTATCATCAAAAAAATCTAATAACAAATGCTGGCAAGGATGTGGGGTAAAGGAACTCCACACATTGTTGGTAAGAATATAAACTAGTACAACCACTATGGAAATCTGTGGAGATTCCTCAAAAAATTGCAAATAGAAATTCCATTTGGCCCAGTTATCCTCCTCCTAGGTATCTTCCCAAAAGAGTTAAAATCATATTATAGAGACACATGCATACTCATGTTCATAGCTGTATAATAGCTAGATCTTGGAAACAGTGCATATGTTCAACAGATGAACAAGGAAAATGTGGAAATGTGGTGTTTATACACAATGGAATGCTACACTGCCATAAAGAAAGATAAACTTGAGACATTTGTAGTGAATGGATTCAAGTTAAGAACATAATGCTAAGTGAAATAAGTCAAATACACAAGCTCAAATATCACATTGTTTTTCTTATATGAGAAATATACACACAAAAAATGGAAAAGAGATAAATAGGAAGAGAAGTTCAAATACCTCTCCAAATTACATATTCAGTTGTTTTAAAAATATTTCAATATATATGTTAATTCATTTCATTTATACAAATAGTTTTTCTTATTTCATTGAAAGGAAAGTTTGTGTTATTATCTGTTGCTTCTCTGCAAAAATCTTTTTGGCTTATGTCTTATACTCAGTGTCTACTTTAAGATAATGATGCACAGTATGATAACTTGTTACTCTCTTATTTGATTATGAATTTTTTTCATAACATACAAAAAATAAAGTAATATAATGTGTTCTTTTTTGTATTTTTCTCCTTTACATCAATATTATATCTGCTAGATTAGACCAAGTAGTACTTCATTTTCACTGCAGTGTCATTCCATTATATGAGCATACCATAATTTATATACACTTTGCTCTTAATGGACAATTAGAGTGATTCCAGTTTGGAACTATTACAAATAATACTGTGCTAAAAATGTTCTCACACAAGTGTTCTGGTGTATACACACACATATACGAATATATTTTGCCAGGTCATAGGTTTTATATATATATATATATATATAAATATGTTAGTTTCAGTACACGAAACACAACAGTATGCAGATAGTTCCAACAATTTATACTACTGTTACCTGATGGAGAGTCCCCTGGGAAGGTCCTTGGTGTTCTGAACAAAGTAGATAAGATGCACATAAAATGTAGTGAGATGTAGATTTATTGAAGGTGGAAAAGAGTACACTGTGGAGAGTGAAAGTAGGCTAGTGAACAGAGTTACAGTGGTGATAAGGATAAAGAGAGGAGGTCTTTAGTATCTGGAATTCCTGGATTGGCTTCTCTCTTGTACAAATAAGGAACTGGGACAACTGTTCTATCAAAAACTCACTTAAACTGTTCTATTAAAAGACTCTCTTGGCTTCACACTAGATGTATATGAAGAACTGAAAACAGCGCTTTTCTGATTGGATCCATGTATAGTGCTTAGGAACTGCAGAGTCATCTTGGATCCTGTTTTTCTGCATTTGTGCCCTGGGTCTCCATGACTTTGATAGATTCCATCCAGTTGTTTGACTGGTTTCACTCCGGCCCTACTAATCTCCTACTTCACTACCATCACTAGAAAGTAAGAGACCCAGGAACTCCACAACTTCCCTAAAACTAGGCATTGTAAGTCTTTTAAAATTTTAACTACTGTGAAAGTTTTGCGATTATATTTTATTGTTGTCTTCATTTGAATTTCCCTAATAATGATATCAAGCTGCTCTTATGTATTTATTAAGTCATTCTATTAATGTTCTCTCAGCTTTCTGTCATTGTGACAAAATACCTTAAATAATAAACTTAAAGAAGAAAGGCTTATTTTGGCTCAAATTTTTAGACATTTAAATCCTTGGTGGTTTGGCCCATTGCATTTAAGTGTTTAGGCCAATATAGTACATCCTACTAGCAGCACTTAGTGGAGGAAAGAACTCACCTTATGGCAGCCAGAAAGCAAAGTGAAAGACAAGAAGGAGCAGCACTCCAATTGATCTTGCACAAGGGCACATCCCCAATTCCATTCCTCCCCTTGGACCCATCTCTTAAAGGCTTCATCATCTGACAACAGTGCCACAGGCTGGAGACCAAACCTTTAACATGTAAGCCTTCGGAAAAAACGATTTTTCAACACCAAAGGATGTACATGTACGAGTCTATGTATCTATCTAACTTTTGCGTAATTTTTAGAGATTTGGGAGAGGGAAAAGTTAAGGGAAACTAGAATTTGTTCTCAGTTTGCCATCTTGATCCAATCTCATGACTAAATTTCCAGTCACATATTGAACATTTCAAAATCCAAACACAGACAGCCACTGGTATCATATGATCTAGTCTGGAAATCTCTGCTTTTGAGGTGATGTCATATTAAGCAATCTTAATTTGGTCCCCATGTTAAAACTGGCATCTGCATGACACATGTGAATACATTTTATTCCTCAAAATTAACTTCCATATGTTAATATTTTTAAAAATTGAGAATCTATTAGAGATTCCTACACATAACAGCAGTGATATGCATAATCTTTTTATCAACTATAACAAAAGACAAAAAAGAAAAAAATTAAGTTGTCTAAAAATTTTTTAGAGCTAAAATTTGAAAATGAGAAAAAGCAATTTAGATGATTCTGAAACATCTCTTGTCATTCTACCCTGAAACTACTTCAACCAACAGACTCATGTCAACACTAATGAATTCAGGAATAAATTAACACTGTTTGGAAGTGGCAAATGGAATTCTAAACTTTAAAATTGTAAATGGTCTCTGACCAAATTTACAATAGGAATTTTATAGAAAGACATGTAATTCTGAAATAAAAGATATATTCCTAACATACAAAGAATTCAACAAAACAGCCTTTGTTATATTTTTAAATACTTAATTTACATCTAACATGTCTTATTCACTGTCTTATGCAAAGGGATACACCAGTGAACAAAATAGACACAATATAGATCTTACATTCTGATAAATACATACAACTGAATAATCTGAATTTGGCCTTTCTGAAGAAATTATTAATAAGAGAGATAGCTACTAATCACCTGGGGTTATTTAATTGAATTAAAATGTAAAATTAATTTAGCCCCTTAGTCTCATAGGCATATTTCAAGTGTGCAATCACATGCCTATGGAGAGCGCAGATCCAGCTTGGGTGGTTCCAACTGTGCAGAAAATTTGACTAGACATTTCTGTTTTAGAGACTTGGAAGAGGGCTTGCTACTTCTAAAGAAAACAAAAGTATTCTAAAGAGTTTTATGAGAGACCTTTATAACGACAAAATATTAGGGTTTTTTATCCATCACTTGCTATGTCTATTCCTGCATCTTATTTTCTTCTCATCTCCTAGAAAATGTTTCTTCATATTTAACTTTCTTTCCGCTTCTCCCTATTCTATTTTCTTATTCCTAATCGCCCTTCTCTATTTTAAAGTAATATCCAGTCCACCTTTAACAATAGGATGTATTTACTGAAGTTTTAAACAGAAGTTCCTCAGTGTTAAAATTTAAGAAGCACTACTCTTATTTCCCAAAAATATATTTAGATGGGAGACATTTTTAAGGTATGCGACCTTAAAAACCCTTTTTAAAAAATTAATTTTATTGGCCCGGCATGGTGGCACACGCCCATAATCCCAGCACTCAGGAGGCTGAATCAGGAGGATCGCTGCGAGTTTGAGACCAGCCTGGGCTACATAGTGAGTTCCAGGTCAGTCTCAACTACTACACAGTGAGACCCTGTCTCAAAAAAAAAAAATTAATTTTATTGTTACATTTTGGGTATACGATATGACATTCATCATTGGAGATTTGCACTTTTACAAAATATATCTTGATCCTTATTTTTCTCCGTTCCCCTGCCCTCCCTTCAACCCCTCAACCCCTCCCTATTTACAAAGACTTTGTTTCCATTTTTTCATTTTGTCAATAAATAAGGTTTTTTTGTTGTTGTTTGGTACCGGGGATTGAACTCAGGACCTTGCACTTGAGAGGAAGGCGCGGTGGCACTTGAGCTGAATCTCCGGCCTTCCTTAAAAACCTTTTAACGTTTAAATTTTCCTTCTTAAAATTACTATCCTTCCAAAAGAACGAGATTCTCACCATAGAAATCCGAAGTGAAAACGATCTGCAATTCTAGTTCTGGCCTCTGGGTCTTTCCTGCAGGGAGGAAAGACTCACCGCCCTGGGCCCCAAACTCTCAGCGGGACTCAGCGTTGGGCTCGGTCAGCCGAACTCCTACTGTCATCTAGTGGGGAGACGCAGCAAGGCTCCTCAGCGCTAGGCGGTTGCCAGGTGATGGAGGCACTGCGCGGCCTCGCCTAAGGACGTAGAGAGCTGCAACAACCCTGCTTCTTATTGGTTGAAGATCTCTCCCCCTATCGCTACGAGCCAATGAAGAGATGTGTAACGTCAGACGTTGTGCGACTCCTCCTACTTACTCTCTAGCGTCGTCTGGACCCGAGCTGTTAGGCGTTGGACCCTACAGAGCCTCAACTGCCTCATGTACACCTCGCAGCTTGTGCTACTGCCAGTGTTCTTCCTGATGCTCCCCGAGGGCGCCAGTCCTCAACCCTCTTCCTTCCCATTAGAGGCAGCGCCCACCTCTTCAGTCTTGAAGTCGACGACTCAGAGAGGGACCCTGCAGTCCTCCGCAGTGGGGCCTGCAACGACCCAGGATGGCCCTGGGCTCTCTACGGTGGGCTCTATTCTTGTGACCCCCTTTGCGCCGGAGAATAAGACTGTGGACCTCTTTCCAGGTGAGGGCAGGGTTGTGAGGTGGGAGTTACTGACTTCAGGTCTGAAATTATGTGGAGGAAAAAAAAAAAAAAAGTTGACTTGCCATAAAGCGAGAACTGGGGCTGTAGGAAGAAAGGGGAAAAGTACTTGGAAGTGTCCGGGGACCTTCATCCCACTCTGCTTTTTAACTGTGCTTTCATAGTCTTACCGATCTGTGTTTGTGATTTGACTCTTGGTGTCTGCGATCTAAACTGCTGCTGCGACAGAGACTGCTATCTTCTCCATCCGAGGACTGTTTTCTCCTTCTGCCTTCCAGGCAGTGTAAGGTGAGCAAGGGTGCTCAGTTTGAATCCTAAAGGGGATTGGAGCTTACAATAGATATTTGGAAATAGCTTTAATACTTCCTAACCCTACCGACCCCCCTTAGTTTTTCCCAGGTGCGACTTTCTTTTGATTTTTTAGAACAGAGCTTTCAGTAGACAGACGATGGGTGTTGTAGCTGCCCAAGGAGTTTATCTTTGGCGTGTGACATTCGTAGAATACTGTTCTTTAGACCTACCTTTGCCTCCTAAATGTATCCTCATCCTTTTTCCTCACAGATCTTCAAGTTGGATGTGTGTAGACAACTCTCTTATGTTCAGGAGTAATTCCCCATTTCCTTCCAGAGTTTTCATGAATTCAAATGGCATCCGGCAATTTTGTGTACATGTGAACAACTGTGAGTAAAAACATTAGTTCTTATTATATTTTATTGAGAAATGGCTGACTTTGACTGTTTCATTTTTAAATTTTTTGGTTTTGTTCTTTGAATCTCTTATCACCCTTTTCCCTTCTATCCCCCCTTCTGCTCACTCTCACCTCCAACCCCTTAGATAACATTTGCAATTTCTTTAGGCCTTTACAGGCTGTGGATCAGATGACTCATAAAGAACTTTAATTTCAGTATTTTTTATCATCCCTCTCAGTTAATCACAGACTATCTCCTCTACTTGTTACAGCCTCTGTGACAACACTCACTGAATACCCAGTGCTTGACACATAGTAGGCACCAAATAAATGTTTTTGACAAATGAGTCTATGCCAACCTTGGTTTTGTTTTATTTTGATGAGGCAATAGGGTAGGGAAAGGAACATTAGCCTAGGATTTTAGTCCTGACAAATTCTTACAGGCTTCAGAGACTTGAGCGAATCTCTTATGTCTAGGCTCATTTCTCCAGCTATAATATAAGAAATTTATATCATTGGTTCTGGATGTGAAAGTGTTCTGTAACTATAGACTGCAGTAAAGATACACAGTGGATATTGGTGTCTTTTAATGGATTTAGAAATTTGCTAGTGATAACTATACCATTTCTAAAGATACCAAATTAATATATCTTTTAAAAATGTCTATCAAGCAATGTTTCCACACAAAATAAATGTAAATGTCTCTTAAGTCCTGAGTCAATGGACTGATTTATCTGATTTTCGAAAAGAAATTACAAAAGTATATTGCTCTCAGAAAACAGTTTTTGGCTTGGGAAGTCTTGAATTTGAAAACAGTAATCAGGAATCCCATGAGCATTTAGATTGTAAGAGGTAAAAGGATAAAGGGAGCAAGGTGAATTTCTCTCTTTATCTCTTTCTCTTTCTTTCTCTCTCTCTTTCTTTCTTGGTAGTGCTAGCAGCAAATGATCCTGTATATAGTCTTGTAAGTATGAGGCAAGTGGTCTACCACCGTGCTATATATACCTCCATCCCCGTGAATCCTTCATTGTAAGATAAGGTTGCCCTTTCTAAATTTTTTATTGCTATCTAAATTCCAGTCCTATGGGCATGTTCTTGGACCATTACCATAACATCCATCTGGTGCTTCCTTTTTGTAATCTCCCCTCCGGCTTTCTGTACCATCCTACACAGAGTCCCTGGACCAGCGATTCCCCAACAACACCTGAGAAATGTGGCTATATCTTTTTTTTTTTTTTTTTTTGCATTAAGTTTATTGGTACTTTTTAGGCATACAGTATAGTTACAGTCATCATTGAAATCTTGTAACTTTACATGATGTATCTTGGTTCTTATTTTTCCCCATTCCCCTGCCCTCCCTTCACCCCCTCCACCCTTCCCTATTTACAAAGACTTTGTTAACATGTTACCCTTTTCTCATATTTTTTCTTTTCCCTTCTTTCCTTTCCCCTACCCTTCCCACTGCCCCTGTTTCTTTCTATTTCACATTATCAATTATACAATTTGAGCCTTGTTTACAGTTTTTCACACCTGAGAAACTATTCAGTATTTGCATGTGTGTCCTATTTATTTCACATGAGTATGGCCTCAATGTGTATCCATTTAACTATGGTGTCACTAGTTTCTCATTCTTTATGGCTGAGTAGTACTCCATTTTATAGAAAAACTACATCTTCTTTATGTAGTCTCCAGTTGACAGGTAATTGGACTATTTCCAAGTTTTAGTTATTACAAACAGTGCTGCTATAAAAATGGGTGTGCATATATTGCTGTGGTATGATTCTTTTAATTCTTTTGGAAAGATAACCAATAGAGGGATAGCTGGGTCAAATAGAACCTCTAATCTTAGTTGTTTAAGGTATATCCATATTGATTTCCACAGTGGTTGCAGCTGTCTGCACTCCCATCAACAATGAAGAAGGCTCCATTTCTCCCCACAACCCTGCCAGCATTTGTTATTGGTTGATTTCATGATAGCAGCAATTCTTTCTGGAGTAAGATGGAATCTCAGTGTTGTTTTCATCTGCATCTCTTGAGTGACCAGTGATGTTGAACATTTTTTTATATGTTTATTTGCTGCTTTTACTTCTTTGTCTGAGAAATGTCTGTTCATTTCAGATGCCCATTTTTTTTTTGGTACCGGGGATTGAACTCGGGTCCTTGTGCTTGCAAGGCAGGCCACCAAACCACTGAGCTAAATCCCTGGCCCTCAGATACCCATTTTTTAATTGTGTCTTATATATTTGGGGGTCTGATTTTTTTAGTGCTTTATATATTCTAGATAGTAGACCTTTATCTGAGGAACAGCTTGTAAACATTTTTTCCCACCTTGTGGGTTGTCTTTTAGCTCTCTTGGTGGCTTCTCTTGCAATGCAGAAGCTTTTTGATAAGATGAGATCCTAGTTGTTGATTCTTTGTGCTAGTTCTCATGGTACTGTTGATTTGTTCAGAAAGTCTTTTCCTATGCCAACATCTTTGAGAGTTCTACCTAACTTATCTCCAGCAAGTTTAGTGTTTCTGTTTTAATATTTAGATCTTTAATCCACTTTGATTTTAGTTTAGTGCATGGTGAAAAACAGAGGTCTAGATGTTTGGCAAGATGAAATGTAGTTTTTCCAACACTATTTATTAAAGATGGTATCTTTCCTTCAGTGAGGATGTTTGGGTCCTTTGTCAAAGATGAGGTAGCTGCATATGTCTGGAATTGTTTCTGCATCTTCTAATCTATTCCACTGATCCTTGGGTCTGTTTCTTTGCCAGTACCCTGCTGTTTTTATCACAGTGGCATTGTAGTATAGTTTCAAGTTGGGGATTGTGATACCCTCTGACATATCTCTGTTGCCTAGAATTACTTTTGCTATTCTAGGTCTCTTCTGGTTCCAAATGAAATTTGGATTGTTTTCTACAGTTCTGTGAAATATACTGTTGGGATTTCAATCAGGATTGCATTGAATCTGTATAGCAGATTTGGAAGTATGGCCATTTTCACTATGTTAGTTCTTCCTAACATACCAAGGAACAAAGGATGTCTTTCAATTTTCTTAAAAACTCTTCGATCTCTTGTTCCAAAGTTTTGGAACAAGACTTTGCTGAAGTTTTTAGTATAGAGGTCTTTTACTTCCTTCGTTAGATTGATTCCTAGATATTTCATTTTTGGATGCTATTGTGACAGTAATTGTTTCCCTAATTTCTTTCTCAGTGAGTCTTGTTATTTGTGTTCAAGAAGGTATTGATGTTTGAGTGTTGACCTTGTATCCAGCTACACTACTAATCTGTCAATTAAGTCTCAAAGTCTTAGCTGAGTTTTTTGTGTCTTCTGTGTAGAGTATCATATCATCAGGAAATAATGACAGTTTAACTTCTTGTTTCCTATCTTTATTCATTTTATTTTTTTTCTCTTATCAAATTGCTGTGGCTAATGCTTCCATAACTATATTGAACAGGAGTGGTGACAGTGGACATTCATGTCTTGTTCCTGATTTTAGCATGGATGGTTTCAGTTTTTTTACCATTTAGTATGATGTTGGCTGTTGATTTTTCATAGATAGCCTTTATCGGCTTGAGATAAAGACCATCTATTCCAATTTTCAGTAGGGTTTTTATCATGAATGTGTATTGGATTTTGTCAAATGCTTTTTCTGCAACTACTGAGAGGATCATATGGTTTTTGTCCATGATTCTGTTAATATACTGTATTACATTTATTGATGTGCATGTATTGAACCATCCTTGCATCCCTGGAATAAATCCGACTTGGTCAGGGTGTATGATCTTCTTGTTGACCCTCTGTATTCTGTTTGCCAATATCTTATTGAGGATTTTTGCATCTATGTTTATTAAGGAAATTGGCCTGTAGTTCTCTTTTTTGGCTGGGTCTTTCTTTGGTTTTGGAATCAAAGGAGTATTTGCTTCCAGCAATGAATTTGGAAGTATTGCTTCCCTTTCAATTTCATTGAAGAGTTTTAAAGAGTAGTGGCAAGAGATCTCTAAATGTATTGTAGAATTCGGTAGTGAAGCCTTCAGGACCTAAGCCTTTCTTTGTTAGTAATGTTTTAATTGCATTTTCAATTTCACTGATTGTGTGTTTAGACCTTTTATATCTTCTTTGTTTAACTTTGGCAATTTATACGTATCCTAGGAATCTGTCCATTTCTTCTGTGTTTTCCATTTTATTAGAGTGCAGGTTTTCAAAGTAGATACTGATGACCCTGTGGATTTCTGGTGGATATGTTGTAACTTCACCTTTTTCATTCCTAATTGCATGAATTAGAACCTTTTCTTTCCTTTTTTTGATAAGGTTGACTATTTATTCTTTTGAAAAACCAACTCTTCGATTTGTTGAATTTTTGTATTTTTCTCTTAGTCTCCATTGTATTAATTTCTGTTCTGATCTTTATAATTTCCTCACTTGAATAAGCTTTGGGTTTGTCTTGCTCTTCTTTTTCTAGGAGTTTAAGGTTCAACATTAGGTTATTTGAGCTCGCTCTGTTTTCCTAGTATGAATTTCCCTTGTAGAACTGCTTTCATTGTGTCCCATACATTCCTGTCTGTTGTATTGGCATTATCACTTAATTGTAGAAACTGTCTAATTTTTTCTTTAATTTCCTCTGTGGCTCATTGGTTGTTCTGGAGGGTGTTATGCAATTTCCATGTGTTTGTGGAGTTCTTGATGTTTTTTGTACTATTGGCCTCCAGTTTAATTGCACCATGATCTGATAATATACAGGGAACAACTTCAATTCCTTTGCATTTACTTAAACATATTCTGTGAGCTAGCATGTGGGGTATTTTGGAGAATGACCCATATGTAGCCAAAAAGAATGTATATTCTGATTTTGTGGAGAGGAACCCTAGTCGACATCTATTAAGTCCCTTTGTTCAAGAGCTTGGTTCAATTCTAGTATTTTATTTTTTATTTTTTGCCTAGACAGTGGAGTATTGAGGTCCCCCGCTACAATTGTGTTAGTGCTTATTTGGCTTTTTGTGTCCCTTAATATTGATTTTGTATAGTTGGGGACATTAGTATTTGGTGCACATATATTTATGATTGTCATCTCTTCCTCTTGTATTGTTCTCTTTACACACATGTAGTGGCCTTCTTTGCCTCTGTTAGTTTTGTTTTGAAATCTACTTTGCAAATAAGATAGCTACCCCTGATTTTTTTCCGGGCTGCTGTCACATGGAGAACTGTTTTCCATCCTTTTACTTTCAATCTGTGAATTTTGGGGGGAACTAAGGGAGTTTCTTGTATACATCATAATTTGGATTTTGCTTCTTAATCCATTCTTGCCAGCCTATTTCTTTTGATTGGTGAATTGAGGCCATTAACATTGATGGTTATAACTGATATATGTTGACATCTTTGTCATGTTATTTTCCTGTTGTTGGCTCTTTTTTATGTTTCTCCCTCTCCCTTTAATTTTTTGCCTTGCCTGGTAGATTTGTTCTATTGGTCCTTATGGAGTTGTGACTCCTATTATCTTTTTCCAGGATATTGTTTAGAATTATTTGGAGTGCTGGTTTGATTTCATGGAATTTCTCAGGTGTTCTTTGTCCAGAAAGAATTGGATTTCCCCATCAATTTTGAATTACAGTTTTGCGCAGTTTGTTGTATTTTAGGGCTTGAAATACATGACTTCATGCTCTCCTTGACTTGAGGTTTTGTGTTGAAAAGTCTTCTGTGATTCTATGGGCTTTCCTTTGTAGTTGATTTGTTTCTTTTCTCTAACTACTTAGAGTATTTTGTTCTTCTCTTGGGTTTCTGGGATCTTGATTTTTATATGTCTAGGTGTAGTTTTCTTTTGTTTGTTTGTCTTTATCATGGCTAGTTGGAGTCCTATATGTGTCACTTATCTGTATATCAAATTATTTTGCTCTGGGAAGTTTTCTGTCAATTCTGTGAACATTTCTTTTTTATGTCATTTCTATTTTCTCCTGCTTTTTCATGGATTCCTATCCATCTTATATTATTCTTTGTATCATCTAGGAGCTGCTGGATCAATTTCTCATGGCACTTACTATTTTTAAGAGATCTCACTGTTCACGGTCACTGAACACAATCCTGTCTTTTATGTCTGTTATTTTGTCTTCACATGGGCTCATTCTGCTGTGAGTACTTTGAATAGTATTTTTAATCTCCTGGATATCTGTTTGAATCTATTTCATGGATTCATTTCTTTCCTAGTAGTGTATTCATGGTTTTCATTTCCTCTTCTGGGCATTCATGGCTTCCATCATGGTCCTGAGCACATCTTTTTTTTCATCTGTTTCTGTTCCAGAATCTCTAATTATGTCTTTCTGCTCACCATCTCTGTGGTTATCTGGGAAATTATTTCTGTTTTGAATTTTTCTAGAGCCTCTTTAATCTGTTGTGTTACTTCCTGTGCCATCAGTTCACAGTGTCCAGGTGATTATCAGACTTTTCCACCTCATTTTCCCCAGAATTTGTTTTTGGTAAGCTGGTAGTCTAGTTTTGTTTCTAGCTTAGGTGTCTTCTCATTTCTATTTTTGTTGTTGGTACTGTTTTTGGTTTAATTCCTGGGTTGATACTTCAATATTGTTCATTGTAGGCATCTTTGTTGATTGTATTTAGAACCTTTATGGAATGATTTTTTTCACAGAGATGTCTTCCAAATATAGCTGGTCTTTAGGTTTTGAGTCTCTAGTGACTCTTAGACAATGTCATTTTCAGTATACCAGGAAGGAGAACTGATTAGATCAATCACAGCACCTTAGCCCAAGTGATACAATCAGCAACAACAATAGCATCAAGCACAGCTTAGAAAATGACAATTTGTGGTAATTATTAATCTATCACCTTTAACTGTGTGACTTAAATCAAAATTGAGGACCAACATAGTGAATAAACTCTTCACTACAGCAACTTCACCCTTCAGGATAGGGACTTAGCAAGGAGTTGGGGAGGGAAGGATAGATTGATACTATAGGGAAAGGTTAGAAATGAGGCCAGAGGACTCAGAAAGATCACTCAAATTCTAGGAAGCTATTGAAAGCAAGAAGAAAAGGCAGCATGAAAGAACAAACACAAGAACAGAACAACATACAGCAATAGGGGGGCTAGAGTCTGTATTCACTTTCCTTTAAAACTAATGACAATCGAGAAAAGGAAAAAGAGAAAAGAAAAAAAGAAATTTGAATTAGGACAGGAACAGGAACAAAAAGGGAGTAAAATGAATAAAGTGGGAAGGGGGAAGAGAAAGAAATGAAAAAGAAAAAAGGAAAAAATTGTAAAGAGAAAAAAAAAATTTTAATTATTAAAAATAAGAGAAAACAATTACTTTAAAAATAAAATTAAAGGGCCTCCGTCAGGGTATGTCTCTGCTGTCACAATGACAGTGTAGGCAGGAATGTGCAGATCTAAGTCAGTCAGTCTCAGCAAGCCAGCAGCTATCCCCTGAGATTCAGGCTGATTTCTGGCTGCAAGGCCCATGTTGAGTTCTCTGACCTCCTGCTGGGTTGAACTCTTTAAGGTTCTACTGCAGGTTCCAACTGTCCCTCCAGGTTCTGATGGGATGTGGTGATCCCTCCAATTTACCAACTACAGTGGTCCGGTGTGCCTTTATTGGAGAGATTTTCTTCACTTTCCAGTGGGCTTCAGTTTTCATCTAGAAACCTCAGAGAGGCCCTCTTTCTCTTGTTCACTTCTGCTCTATCTTCTGGTGCTCAGAACAATAGCCTTTCTGACCTTTTGTCTCTCTGCGGTGTGGATCGAGGTACTGGCATGGCCTAGTGGCCAGAGGTAGGCAGGAGGGGCTGGGGCCTGTGTGGCTGAGCTCCTCTGCCCCTCTGTGCCGAAGGGGCTAGCTATTTCCAATAGTAATAGTGGATCATTATATCAGTGAACTTTCCTTGAGTCAGATCAAAGAATGGATTCATGTTGAGTGTGAAAAAGGCAGTTCCATTAGAATGGCCAAGAATGTATATGATTAGTAATTTGTGATGAAAACAGGAAAGCCTGACAATGTCCCTATTTGGTCCACATCAGATGAGTTGCTGATACAAGATGGTATTGTTTCTATAGGAATACAGTAAAGTTAGAGATAATATGTGATCTGTTCTCTGCAATCTTTCCTTTTCCTCTAAACTTCAAATCACCAATAATAATGGATTAATTTGACTGAAAAGTCAAATAATTGAGAAGTGATTATGGAGGATAAAGGTCAAGCTTATTTAATATGGACTCCTCATTAGCTTTTAGTGACTCAGGTCTTATTACCTTCTTAACTCTGTCCAAGTGACCATAATTATATTAAAAGGAATGAAAAAGTAACAGAGCTTTGGAGCATGTTTATGCTATGTTCTTTTTCAGTTTAGCAGACAATTTGGAGTAGGAAGCACAGTGCTAGCTATCATCTGTTGTCCTACATCTCTCTTTTGGTTATGATGTGCTTGGTATAAAGAAATGGTTGGATAGCACTAGGATAGATCCATAGAAAGTATAGAATTGTTAGAGAAAATACCCCTTTGAGATATTGAAATCTTGACTTTAGAAATCATAAGGGAAAAGAACACCAATGAATCTGTATGTAGTGGTATCTCAGTTCACAAACACTTTGGTTCACAATTTGGTTTGCAGACAGAAGTGTTTGGCAAAATTTTGTTATTGTTTGCAAATTCTGCCCCAGGTGACTAACATGACCCTGGCCATCTTTCCCACACAAGCACAAACATGGTTAATAGTTTCTAAAATCATGGAACAAATTAAGTTTGTGAACCAAGTTACCAATGAGAGCTAGATATATTAGTACAGTACAGAACTAGTTAGCTGGGGATTTAGCTCAGTGATTCTGCCACCTGCCTCACAAGCATGAGGTCCTGTGTTCGATCCCCAGTACTAAAAAAAAAAAAAGTAGAAGTAGTTAGTTGAAATGTAGAGGGAAGAGGAAGATTGGGAAGAACAGATCAAATATTATCTCTGACTTTACTGTATTCTATGGAAACAGTATCATCTTGAATCAGAGACTAATTTGGTGTGGCTCAAATAGGACTATTACTCCTTTTTTCATCACAAATTGCTAATCATACATATTCTTAGCTGTTAAAGACTTGGAACGGGCTGGCAGTCATTGATCCTTTTCTTCATTAGGTCTTAATACTGTGTTAATTAACAGATTACAAATAAATTAAGAGGCAATAGAAATCTCACTTATTGTCTCTAGTAGTGGAGTATTGATTGGAAATCTAGGAAAATGTTGTATGATTTGATCTGGATGATGGTAATATAGTATATGAATTTGTAAAAATTCTTTGAGTTTATACTTTAATGTATTCATACATATCATTTCATGCATATTATGCTTCAGTAAATACATTTTTTAAAATTAGTTACCTAACAGGGAGATAGATCTTTTGTAAAAGGGAAAGAAGAGACCAAGAGGCAGAGGGAGGGGGTAGGAAAGGGAGGAAGGAGAATGAGATGAAAAATGAATTCGTATGTGAAGAAAAATATTCTCTACAATGAATATAATCATTGTGTAAACTGAAACAAATTTTAAATTAGTTATTGTGGCATGCCAAATATTTAAAAATAAATGCTTTTCTTTTATCTAAACTTTTCTTTTTAAAACCGTTTTAGCAAAATTAAACTATTTCCAGAAGCTCGAAAAGGTCAGTGCAACCAATTTCCAAACCCTGGCTGCAGAGTTTGGAGGTGATTTATTCATTTCAACATTGCAGTCCCAGTCACCACCACCTTTTTACAAGGTAAGCCTGAGGAAGCGGGTGAAACTGGTGGTGGTTGTTGTTGTTTTTCCCTCATAGCAGACAATTGGCAGGATATCTTTGTGATGTCTTCCTACAACAGGTAAACCATTGTCAGGTCTTTTGGAGGACAGTGCTAGCCATTTAATAAGCTAGATTTAACCTTTGTTTCTATTTTTTTCTGATGTAGTTCAATCCAGTCCTACTATTGGAAAAATGTCTCCTGTATTTTATTCAGGCTGGGGACCCCATTCTGACTTACTTTCCCAAATGGTCTGTAATAAGCTTGCTGAGGCATCCTGCAGTAGTGGGAGCTGGGGGAGTTTGTGCTGAACGCAATCCTGCAGGTGAGTCCAGGGCAGAAGTACCAGCCTTTTTGGTTAATTTAAAATATGCTTTCTTACTTAACACTGCCTTACATCTTTGTGTTTGTAGGTTTCTTAGAGAGTAAAAGTACAACCTGCACTCATATCTTCAGGAACCTGGCAAGGAGCTGTACCTTGGATCCAGTCCTGGATGCTGCCTCTTACTATAACTTCACAGTCTTTAAGGTGGGTGTCCCGCTCTCCCCACTCTGTCACCATAGTACGTTTGAAATCAACATGTTTCCCACTATTGTGGGATATCACTGAAGTCAGAATCTCCAAGAACTATATAAAAGATAGAGTGCCTAATTATATTTCCAGGATAAGACATTATCACCTTCCTGGCTAATAGGATTAATTTAGGGAAGGTTAGGAGGGGATGAGATCCCACTATTTCACCACTTCTTGCTTTTACTGTTCAGTAGAACTCAATCAGGGTAGATAGTCAAGTCTATCCAATCTCAAATCTAACTGTCTCTGGCATATTAATATAAGAAATAGTGAAGTGGAAGAAAAGCAAAACACTCTAATATGTTTATCTCCCACTGCCACCACCATCAAAGCATATTGGTGGTAATATGAAGCCGCCAGCCCTTAGTGATTTTATGAAAGGTGTATGCACTCTCATGTCTCCTCTCTTCACTTATTCTAGGTTCCACGAGGTGTGACTGATCTGCAGAATATGAAGGTATGTTGCCATTTATTAGGAAAAAGGAAAAAGAATATTTGGTTGGCCTCTTGGCATCTGAGGCAATTTCAGTTTAGATTGTAATAGTGGAGAAAAAAATGTGTGCTGTATTATGGGCAAGTATGAATCTAAAATAAAGTGATCAATATGATTAATAGCTTCATATGAAGTAAAGATTAATGTATTAGATAAGTCTGGAAAACATTGAGTTAAATAAGGTTAAACACTACACTTAAGGTGGACTTCTTGGGGTCTTTTAATGCTAGACACCCTTGTTAATATCTAAGAGAGGAATGTTAAATACAGTATTGATATATATAACTATGAAGCCCTTATTTAATAGAATTAATGTTCTAGAATTATGTTTTGAGATGTACCAATTTAAAATGACTTTTGAGTTTTAAGTTATAGGCTGGCAGTGGGAGGAGAAAGGAAAAATGGTGGTCTAGGAAGAAAAAATACTCATTTTTGTATAAGCTACAGCTTAAAAGAGGGCTGGGGTGCTCAGCGGCACTGTGCCTGCCTTGCAAGTGCAAAGTCCTGAGCTCGATTCCCAGTACCAAAAAAAAAGATATAGCAGAAAGAGAAAAGGTCCCTCTCAATGGTTGACTTGCCTCTTTCCTTTACCAGTTCCAGGTTCCTGTAACACTTGCCTCACAGGCCAATCCTCCTCTCTTGGCTCGGAATGCTTGTCTGAATGTTGTTTCCCAGGTAGGCTTGTTGATTTCAGATTTTGGACTGATACATATTGATCGGTATTGCCATAAGTATTTCACCTTCCACAAAGTAGTAGACCAACCCCACCTGAAGTCTTATGTGTATCCTGAAATGTAACATGTCAAGAGTTCAGCCTCACAGAACTCACGTTAAGATGTTAAGAGTTCAGCTTCCCCTTTCTCCCGATAATAGTTCACTTATGTCCATTGCTACCGTCCTCCGGTATTTCAGATTCATAATATTAAAATAATTAATGACTCTTCTTCTGTTGCCCTATTACTGGTTATTGCATTTTCTTTTGTTGACAAAGTATCATCAAACAGTGTGAAATAGATTAATCAACTTGTCCTCTCTCTAATCAGTCTAACCTAGAGAAGTAGGAGTTATTTTAAAGTGTCAGTTTACAGACTGTGCTCAGAAACTTGTTTACTTTCAATTGCTTATGACTTCTGGTACCCCTGGGTACTAATTTATATTTAGACAATGCAAGTGCCAAGTAACCTTGTTTTCTGTCCCATATGTACCTCTGCCTCTGATCCTAGTTCTTGCTCTCCTCTATCCATGGTCAAAACTTACTTGTCTTATCTCTTCCATGAACTTTTCCAAAGGGCCATTTTGGTGTTTGTGTGTATGTGTGTGTGTGTGTGTGTGTGCGTGTGTGTGTGTGTGCAAATGAAATTAATATCAAGTCATTTTTATCTTTTTATGGTATTTGTGTTTGCCATATTTAAGACAGGCAGAAAATCTTCTGTCCTAAACATAATCAGTCCAATCATTTTACTAATTGATTCTTCTTTTATATTTCAGGTCACCTATGACATAGAAACAAATGGAACCTTTGGAATCCAGAAAGTTGCTGTCCGTTTTAAACAAATCAACCTGACTGTTGAGCCAGTTGTTTCTTTACAGCAAGACTTCATCATTCGCTTTAGGGTTAGAGCCCTTCTCCTGTAGAGGTTCAAGAGGGCAAACAAAAAAATCTGGTTAGAAATAGTCTTCTGCTCCTGTAATGAATGCAAAATAGTATAAGTGTGTGAATTCTAGAGCTGGGTGGGGTGGTACACCCCTGTAATACCAGCACTTGGGAGGCTGAAGTGGGAGGATCACATAAGTTCGAGGCCAGCCTAGGGAACATAGTAAGTTCAAAGCTAGCTTGAACTACACAGTAACACCTCAAAAGAAAGGAATATGAAGTCCAATTCAGTCTGCCAAATGGGTTGTTGATATTTAATATTTCTTAATTTAATGATAAGTAATAAGCTATTCAACACATATTTTTAATATTATCTCTTGACTGTCTGGCTCCCAGCAAAGCAGCACTCAAAAATCACAACTCTTAATATGGCATGGTGGAACACCCCGGTCATCTCAGCACTCTGGGAGGCTACGGCAAAAAGAAAGCAAGTTGATCCAAGCCAGGACAACCTTGTGGCTCAGACTCTGTTTCAGAGGGTTGGGGAAGTAATTATGTATTCAATTCCCAGTAGAGAGGAGGGGGGAAGAAGAAAATCAGCTATTTTTAAATAATCATTTTGAATCATAAATTCAGCCAATATCTCATGGGAATCATTAACTAAATATTCTTGTATTTTTTGATATACATCGTTTTACTTCCCCACTGGACCTGTTTCTAGTCTTAATCACTACCTTTTGCCTTTCTTATACCTCTTTTCTCTTTTTGAACATAGCAGAGTTCTGTGTATGGGATCACCTGTGTCTCAGAGTTAAGAGCATCTATACTTCATTAAAATATATTTTTAATTACATTTAAATTCCTCTGGTCTTAGCCAGACTGAACATACCCCTAAATTGGTAGTAACTTTTGAGAACATGAGGTTAAAGGCTCCTTGGCAGATCCTTGCTTTTAAATTTGTATATAGTGAATTTCAGCATTCAGCTTACTCAGTATTTAATGAAGGGACTGAAAAAGGAAACACTGGAATATAAATTGCTAAGTACTACGCTGGAAAGAAGCCAGATTATTCATTGTAACTCATTTATTGCATTGCCTTAATGAAAAATAATGAATGAAGCCAGGCAGTGTAAGGTGGGAAAACATGCTTCTCACATTTGACTTTTCTTCACTCTTTCTGCAGGCTTTTCAACAAAGCACAGCTGCTTCTGTAACTATGCTTAGAAGTGGTAATCCTGGCTATATTGTTGGGAAGCCACTCTTGGTTCTAACTGGTGATATAAGTCACTCCGTATCCTATTTTAGTTGGGTGACCTTTTGTAGCTTAATAAGAAGTGCTGCAGCAGCTGATCTGAATTTCTAATTTTTGAGTTTCCCTCATGTTTTAAGTATTTAAAATAGCACTTTCTTTACCAAACTTTACTGATGCCACAAAACACCAAAAGCTTTAAAACTAATATTAGACTGGCTAAATGTAAAGGTTGCACTGATGTTTCGATTTTTTTTAAATTTTCAGTTTATGTAGTTTGTTTGTTTGTTTGTTTTTTGCAGTACCGGGGATCAAACTCAGGACCTTGCACTTGTGAGGCAGGTGCAGTGCTGCTGAACTAAAATCCCTGGCCCCAACTTTGCATTTTTTTAATGAGATATTCTAACGTAGGGTTAACTGATTTTAGGAAAGCAGTAATTTTCTCTATACTTTTAACTACAAATTTGTGGTTTAAATATGATACTTAATAAAATATAAGTAGTGTTAAAGAGCTGTGCCTATTTTCTTTATCTGTTATGCTCTCCTTAACCATCACTTTTCTACCTGAGATGACCCTCTTGCAGAGCGAGGGAAATGGAATTTGCTCTGTTAAAAGACATGAGGTACAGTTTGGAATGAACGCAATATCTGGATGCAAGTTCAGGTAACTCTGCTTCTGCAACATTCTCTACAATTTTGTCTCCTTTTAGAGAGTATATTGATACAGTGACTTTTTAATATTTTATATGACAGTTCAGAAAATGGTAGGAATAGTTTTTAAATAATACTATATTGCTAGGAGTTTCTGACAGCCCTTAATACCTACTAAGGATTATTTCCTGTAATCTATTTTACAGTGTTGTTTCTAATGCTTGGGTTAATGTACTGATTATAGGCTGAAGGAAGAGGTCTGTAGCCAGTTGCGGAATGAGATTTATCAAATTCTTCATGGAAGCCCCAGACCAGAGCATGTCGCCATCTTTGGTAATGCTAACCCAGCTTGGAAAGGAGAGTGGACCAGTATCATCAACAGAAGCTGCAGTACTTCCGTAAGGACAAAAATATACTTTCTGACAGTGGTTCGCTTCCTACCTTTGCAAATTATGGATAACAAGGTTAAAATTAGCTCTGTTTCCGTAGAAATTGTGTTTGTCATACAAGGGACAGAATAAGAAATCATGCCCATTTGAAGGCATTTCAGATTAGGTTTAAACCCATTTTCTTTTCTCAAAAAAAAAATTTAAAGATACAAAATCTAGAGATATCGGTGATTCAAAAATCACATCATATGTTTCAAATATTCCCTTACATTCTTCAGTGTTTGGTCACCACAGATTCTTTCATGAGTCTGAAATTGTGTTCTTTATTGTGGTTGTAAAAAATTCTGTTTTTACATTTACATAAAAAATTTATTAATAGTTTAGAATAAATAGCATATAAAGTAGTATACCTTTGCCAGCATCTTGCAGTTAATCCTCCTAGAGTACTGCTTTAGTCTGCCATGTTTCTATCCTACAAATTTAATGGTTTCTGACACCTTCAAAACAGACTACTTGATGGACTTCATGATCTAACCCTCTGGCATCTTATAAGGCAGGAGGCAGAACCACTGAGCTAAATCCCCGGTCCCCTGTAGCATCTATTACCCTGTGGTTAAGTCCTGATGTCAGCCATGTGGTCTGCTCAAGGCCAGTACCTTGCACAAAGGAAATACTCATCATACTCAGTAATTACTTAAATTAATAGTGACTATCCTTCGCTTATATCCTGTGCTGTTCTAGTTGCATACATTTAAAAAATATTTCTTTTTCTTTTTTGAGACAGGTTCTTGAACTCATTATGTAATCTGGACTGATCCCTGACTCAGAATTCTACTAACTCGGTCTCCTGCGTGCTGGGATCATAGGCATGCACCACCATGCCTAGCTCTTTTTTTCTTTTTACTTATTTTTTTCTTTTTAATTAACATGCAATAACTATAAATATATATGAAATATGGTGAGGTGTTTCAATGTAAGTATGCAGTGTGTGCTGATTAAATCAGATAAGGAACATTTCGATCTCATTTGCATTTGGATCCTGTGAGCTTGTCTCTTCAAATTCTTCATAAAATATGTAATAGGTTATTATAAACTATAGGTACCCCTACTATAGTATAGCACACTATAAATTATTCCTCCTGTATAACTGTATTTTGGTATTGGTTATCCACTCATCCACTCTTCCACTAAGCACCCCCATTCCTAGTCTCTAGTAATTACTTTATTCTCTTATGTTTAGTATTTAAGCTTTCACTATGAATAAGAACCTGTGTTACTAGTTGGCTTATGTCACATAGCATAATGCCCCCCAGTTCCATTCATTTTACCACAAATGAAAGAACTTCATTCTATTTGTGGCTGCAATAATACTTATATACATAATGAATACCATGTGTATGATATAGACTATGAATAATATATATGTGTATATATATAAAACACTATCATTCATCTGTCAGTGGATACCTAGTTAATTCCAAATGTCTGCTATTGTGAATGATACTGCAGCAAAATGGGAGTGCAAGAATCTCTTTGATGACCCTTTGGATGGATAAGCAGAAGTGGGATAGCCAGTACATGTGGAATATTTATGTTTAGCTTTGTTTTTTTTTAGCTTTATTTGAGTTTATTGGTACACTTTAGGGATACGGTACAGTTACATTCATTGTTGGGATCTTATACCTCTACATGACAAGTCTTGATTCTCATTTTTTCCCCTTACCCCTGCCCTCCCTGCACCCCCTCCTCTCCTCCCCATCTACAAACACTTTATTTCCATCTTTTCATTATCTCACATTCTTTTCTTTTCCCTTATTACCCTTCCCCTACCCATCCCACCTTCCCTACACCTTTAGCTCCTTTCTTCCCATTTCTAAATGTCGGTAATCTTATTAGGATCTTATGTATTATTGCAGATTATTCACACCAGAGAAACTATTCGGTATTTACACATGTGTGACTAATTTATTTCACTTAGGAGTATATCTTCAATATGTATCCCTTTTCCTATGAATGAATCTATTTTCTAGTTCTTTATGGCTGAGTAATATTCCATTTTATAGAAAAACCACATTTTTAGCTTTTTGAACAATCTCTTTTCTGTTCTCCTGAGAGCTATACTATTTATACATTCCCTGCAGCACTATATGAGTTCACCTTTCTCTGATTTCTTGCCAGTAATTTTTTGTTGGTTTTTTTTTTATACTAGCCATTCTAATTGGGGTATCTTTTTTTTATTTAAGTTTATTGGTACTTTTTAGGTATAGAGTATAGTTAAATTCATCATTGTGATGAATCCATGATGTATCTCAGTTATTTTTCTCTATACCTTTGCCCTCCTTTCACCCACTTCACCCTCCCCTATTTACAATTATTTTGTTTCCATTTTTTTCCTTTTCTCATATTTTTTCTTTTCCCTTCTTTCCTTCCCCCAACCCTTTCCACTTCCCCTACTCCTTTAGACCTTTTCTTCCTATTTCAAATTATCATTTATACAATTTGAACCTTATTTACACCTAGTTTTTCACACCAGAGAAACTATTCAGTATTTACACATGATTCCTATTTATTTCACTTAAGAGTATGGACTCATTGTGCTTCCATTTAGCATTCTTTATGGCTGAGTTGACCCAGCTATCCCCCTGCTGGAAATCTTTCCAAAATAATTAAAAGAATCATACTACAGCAATATATGCGCACCCATGTTTCTAGCAGCACAATTTGTAAAAGCTAAAACTTGAAGCATCTCATTGTAGTTTTGATTTGCATTTCTGTAAAGGCTAGTAATGTTAAGCATTTTTTTTTTCATATACCATTTGTATTTCTTATTTTGGGAAGTATATATTCAGATCATTTGCCCAGTTTTTAATTGGATACTTTGTTTTTTAAATTCTTTATAGATTCTCTTTCCTTTGCTATGCAGAAGCTCATTAGTTTGATGTAATCATATTTGTTTATTTTGCTTTTGGTGCTTATGCTTTTGGGTTCTTGTCCTATATATAGCCCATTGCCTGTATTGATATCTTGAGTATCTTGAAGTATTTTTTGTTTTGTGTTGTAGTTTCATGTGTTTTATCTATTTCAAATGTATTTTTGTGTGTGGTAAGTGACAGAGATCAAGTTTCATTCTGTATATGAGTATCCAGTTTCCCAGGCACCCTTTATTGAAGAAGCTGTCCTTTCTCCAATATATACTTTTGGCGTCTGTTGAAAATTGGTTGACTATAGATAGGTGGGTTGATTTCTGGATTCTGGATTCTATTCCATTGACATATGAGTTGGTTTTTATGCCATTACCTTGTCTCTTGGTTAACTTAAATCCTTTAGTAGATCTTGAAAATAGATACCGTGATGCCTCTAGCTTTGTTCTTGTATTCAAGATTGCTTTGGTGCTTTTATGTAAGTTTTAGGATTTTTTTTTTCTATTTTTGTGATGAATACTATTGGTATTTTAGAAAGAGATTTCATTGAATCTGTAAATCCTGATTACTATAGACATTTTAACAATATTAATTCTTCAAATCTATGATCATGGGAGGTCTTCCCATTTTCATGTTTGTGTATAGAGGTCATACACTTTCTTGGTTAAATTTATTCCTAGCTGTTTTAATTTTTGTAGCTACTATGAACTGGATTGTTTTCTTGATTTCTTCTCAACAAGTTTACTATTGACATATAAATATGCTACTGATTTTTGTATATTGAGTTTGTATCTTGCAATCTTAATGATTCATTTACTAGTTCTAACAGTCTTTTGATGAAAGTCATTAGGTTTTTCTATATATAGAATCATACTGTCTGTGAATGGATTTTACTTTTTCCCTTGCTGTTTGTAGGCCTAATTGTTCTGGCTAAGACTTCCAGTATTGTGTTGAACAAGAGTGGTAAAAGTGACATCCTTTTCTTGTTCCAGATCTTAGAAGAAAGGTTTTCAGCTTTTCCCTGTTCAGTAGGCTCTTGACTGTGGGTTTGTCATATATAGCCTTTATTATATTGAGATGCTTTCCTACTATACATAATTTATTGAGTGTTTATCATGAGAAGTTGAATTTTATTTAATGCTTTTCTGCATCTATTAAGATGACTATATGGATTTATGTCTTACTGCATTGGTCTGATGTATTTATTATATTTTCATATATTAAAGCATCCTATTATCCCTGGTATAAATCCCACTTGCTCATGGGAATGATCTTTTTGATATGCTGGGGGATTAAATTGAGAAGTTTTGCATCTATATATATATCAGGGATTTTGGTCTACAGTTTCTTTTTCTGTTGTGTCCTTGTCTAATTTTACAATTAGGATAATGCTGACCTCAAGAGTGAGTTTAAAAGAATCTCCTTCCCTTCAGCTTTTTGGAATAGTTTGAAAACTGGTGTTAGTACTTCTTATAAAAATTGATAGAACTGGGTCAGGGATTTAGCTCAGTGGTACTGTGACTGCCTTGCAAGTACAAGGTCCTGAGTTCAATTCCTTGTACCACAAAAAAAAAATAATAATAATAATAATTTAGCACTGAACTGAAACCATGTGGTTAGGGCTTTTCTTTGTTGGGATACTGTTTTTTTATTACTGATTTAGTCTTTTTTCTTATTATTCTGTTCATGTTTTCTGTATCTTCATGGTTCAACTTTGGTAAATTATATGTGTCTAGAAATTTATCCATTTCTTCTAGGTTTTCTAATTTGTTATTGTGTATTTGTACAGAGTAGTCCCTAATAATCTATTGTATTTCCATGGTATGTCTCCTTTTTCATTTTATTTATTTGGCTCTTTTTTTTTTTTCTTGGTTGG